CTAAAACTGCTCATGCTGTTCTCCAAATTCACAATGTTTCAAAGATGTCTGAGGCCTTCTAAAACCTTGTGAGGCCACATTCACCATTCTCCAGATAGTGTGTGCCATTCTTGTAATGCTTTGAAAGACTTTTGAGACCCTCAAAAATCTCACAGGAAAGTCATGCCCATTGTTCTCAAAACTGCATATGTCATTCTTGTGATGCTTTGGAAGGCCTCAGAAGCTATTTGGAATGGCATGAGTATCCTTGAACGGTAGGCCTGGTGGTCAGTGGGAATGTCAGGGACAGCAGGATAGCAAGGCTGGTGGCAGGGTCAGCAGGCAGCAAGGCTAGTGAACACCAGGCAGCAGGGTGAATGAAATACACAGGCTGGCAGGATCAGCAGGGTGGCAGAAGCTGGGAGGGACCACACCAGGAGTGGCTTGGATTAGAGTAAGTTGTCACCTGATGACTGGTGGGATTTGGTTAACCACAGCAACAGAAAATGCTAGGATTGACATGTGACATCATACTTTCAGCCATATTGCCATGGACATTCTGGTCTCAATTGCCATTATAACTGTATTTTTTTTTCTCAAACTAGAAGAAAAGATCTAACTTTCTCCTTAGGATGCTTCACTTATTCTATTCAGATAGTAAGATACAGAGAAATGTTTTTTTTCCAAATTGATCTGTCCCATGTTTACCATAATTTTTTTCTCCAAAAAATAAGGTGGGGAAAAAAAGAATCTTCACAATCTATTAAAGGTAGCCCTCATTTCATGACCACAATTTTGTCATTAAGCAAAGTGGTTGCTAAGTGAAACTGCAACTGTGATTACAATCTTACTTCAACTTTTCTTTGCTTTACTCATTTGTGAAAGACATAAGTGTAAAGATTGGACGCAGTTACTTTTTTAATCACCTTGTGAACCTTAATGGTTACTAAATGAGGCACTTGCTAAAGGAGAACTACTTGGACTTTAAAAACTCCAGGTGCTGCAATGAACTGGAATATTTTTAAGAATGCTATCTTGATATGTTCACTCAGATGCAAGTCCAATTGAGCTCAATTAAACTTAATCATAGGTAATTGGATTGGAAGATTGTAGACTATGGGCCTTTATTATTTTGTTAGTTTATGCTGTTTCTCATTGTCCTCATTGTCTCATTCTCATTGACATGTTTATTTCATGTCATTGGGCATAAATAGCTGGGGAAGAACTATTGCTTTAGTACCATCATATAGACTTATCACAGGGATTAAAGATTACTGAGCTGAGGTGTTCAAGATACAAAATGAATATAAAACTCTTTGTATAGACTTGTGATAGAAAAATTAGGACAAAAACAGCCAAGTCTTGCATTAAATCTTTGAGGGCGTTCAAGCAGAAGCACATAAACTTGATAGTACTGCGGTAGTAGTAATATTCTAACACAAAAAGCATTAACAAAAATGTCTAGTTTACACCATAATAAAAAGAAATCTTCCAGTTAACCTTAATAAACAACAATCTTCTTCCCATATTTTCCTTCCATTTATAAACTCCCTGAGTTCAATTTTTTCAAACAAATATGGGAGTCTTTAATATTGTTCCATTTTATATTTGGGACATTTGTGATACTCTAGGAGTGTTAAACTGGCGGCCCACTGGCCGGATGTGTCATATGCAGGACAGGCCCACCCCAGCTCTGCAAAGGCAAAAAACGTTGCGATACGTCACAATGTCACGTGACGCAAACGAGTTTGATACCTATGCTCTAGAACTAGTATGATTGCAACCCAGAAAAGTTCTAGAATTCTAGTAGTTCTCAAGATATGACCACAATAGTTGCAAGTGGTGATATGGTCTCACTTAAGGATCCCCAGTCCCTGCTTTCCCTGAGGCAGTTGTTAAATGAACATGTGGGTTGTTAGGCACTGGCAGTCTCAGTAATGGGGAGGTCTTAGCATAGGCATAGGTCCGCCTGCCATAGACCTCCAAAGATGTCCTCCATCCACAAGATATCCCATGTTTTCTTCTCCCTTTTGATTCTCACAGGCCTTTCCTTCCAGCACTGGGTCCCCACATACCTTAGGCTTGATTCCCATTCCACTAGGCTCCACATGTTCCTTCTTATTTACCCCTTGGAGATTTCCTGACCTTATGTTGGAGAAGGACAGGCCAGATGGCACTGGGCTACATGGCTGCCTCCTGGAAGTGGCCATCATTGTCAGCACACCTGCAATTCTGCAGCGCTGTGCAGAATTGCATGCAAGCAGCAAAAAAAGGAATTAATCCCTGGCCAATGCAGCAGCTTTGTGAAAACAGCCATTTTGGTATGCTCATGTGGAATATGGGCCGCTATGCAGAAGCAGCTGACATTTTGAGATGCCTGCAAGGAATTGTGGGAACACTGAAAATGATCCTTTCTGGGAGGCAGCCATGTGGCCCAGGGACGTGTGACCTGACCACCTTCCCAACATGAGGCCAAGAGATTTTCAAGAGGTAAGTGCAGGTGGGAAGTACTGTAGGTCCAAGGCCTGCAGGATCCTGGTGAGCGGGGAGGGGGGAGAGGCGGGGAGCATGCACACCAGCAAAAAGTCATAGGGGTGAATGACTGTAGGGCAGTGTTTCTCAACCTTGACAATTTTAAGGCATGTGGACTTCAACTCCCAGAATTCCACAGCCAGCAATGCTGGCTGTGGAATTCTGGGAGTTGAAGTCCACATGCCTTAAAATTGTCAGGGTTGAGAAACACTGCTGTAGGGGCACTGCAGCCGCCATAACTTTGAAACAGAATCATAAGTAGCTTTAACTGCTAGTAATTGCTACTGATTTAAAAGGAAGTTGCTTTATATTTCTATTAGGGAAAAATGGGTCTTCAATTGATTCTCATAATGTCTATCTCAGATACAAAATATTGTTTAGTCAGGAAGCCAGAATAGTTCAATTATCTGGTTACTGGCTTTCAGACTGAGAAAATAGCTTTGAAAACTTCAGCCAGGAACTCTTTATAAGATTTGGACCAAATCAGTAACATTTACAGTATTGTATGTTTTTGAGAAGATCAGGTTAAAAACTTGCCATTTTGCAAAACATTTCCTTGCATTAAAACATTTCCTGTCTTATTAAACATTTCCAAAGACATTTTCTTCAAGTCTTTATTATTTAGATAGATAGTTTCTATCAAATACTATTGTTTTGTGATCAACCAGGCAGCAAGTGAAGATTCCAAGGGCTTCATATTAGACTTGTTCAGAAATCCAGATTCAAAAGGCATAATGTGATTCAGAGCATGCAGGAAAACCTTGAAACAGTTGCTTCTTCTCAGTTCTCACAGCTGCCTTCACAGCTAATACAATCTCCTGCAAGAAATGCATTTGGTTTGAGGTGTTCTCAACAGATGGTATGTGAGAGCATGTATGTGCAGAATCATTTGCTCTCTGAATGCAGATGGCAGCACAACACAAATATCTGTTCTCAAAATATGAAAAAAGGTGATCATTAAAGACTAATATATCATAGAGAACATTTGAATTTTTGACATTTAAATTGCCGTATGCAAGATCTGCTAAAGCCATTTATAAAGTTTCTTATTGTGGAAATAATTATGTTTATTCTATTTACAGGCCATATCAGACAGAACTCCCATCTTATTGGCTATTAGTGGAACTAATTTTTGATGACCTCTGGAAAGAGCTGTTCTCATCATTCTTTAATGGAAATATGTTATCACCTCCACTTGACAAATGTAATTTAAGTGTGTGATTTCTTTTCATCATCCTAGCATGCACTGTTGTACAGTATATACACAATATGTATACAGTACAGTAGACTCTGTCCTAAAGCAATCCATCTAGTGGTACCAAAGGTCTTATCTGTGGTGACTCTCTCCCTGTGGAACATCATCCCTAGATAAGATGGCCCCCACTTTGACAGTTTTTCTCAAGGCCCTGGAGATCAGGCCTAGGGACCCAGAGTGGTGTGGAGCCTATCAAATGGCTCATTTGTTTGTTGTTGCTAGAATGGTAGTGTTATTGCTTTTTATATTGGGTTTTTATCATGCAAGCCATCTGGAGTCATTGAGAGTGAGTTGGGCGGCCATATAAATTTTCTTAAATAAATATACTAAACATGCTTAACATGCTACTGAAGAAAAGCTGTGGATCTATCAGAGCAATAAAAGTGTTTATGACACAGTGAGATTAAAGAGTTTGGAATATCTAGTTGCTGATATTGTAGCATAATAAAATCTCAAACTTCAAAGGCAGAAGTACAGTGAAAACATGGAATGTAAAAATCAGGAACATGAGAAAAGCCGCACAGAGAAATGAACTGGGCACACATTAACATCTTGGGCATTATCTAATAAGATGGGCAGGAAGTGGACACTTTTAGCCAAAAGTTCATACTTCTTATAACTCAAGACACACAGGAATGGCATTGCTTTCATAACCAGGAATGATATTGTAAGGGCAATACCTGGGCACAATGCAAACAGTGATTAAATAATATCAATTAGACTTTGCAGACAAACCTTAGTTAATAATTAACTAAGTTTATGCCTCAACCATTGATACAGAGGAGAAGATTGACAGGTTATCTGCTCAAGTTTAATCTAAAATTGAACGAATATGCAAGCTTTCTGTGCTGCTTGTAGTTGCAGTTTGGAATGCGAAAGTTGGAAATGTTCAAGAGGACAGCCTAGATGGAAAGCACGACCTAAGAAAAAGAAATGAAGTAGGAGAATGGCTTACCAATTTCTCCCAGTCCAATGTTTTTCATTACTAACAGTATTCCAACAAATAAAATTACACCTTCATATGCATCGTACATGGATATACAGTACATCTACATGGGCATCATTAGACTGAATACACTGTTTTTGGTGGGAAAGAAAAAGATGGAAGACTTCAGTTAATACAGGAAAGAATGGCAAGGGGGTTGACTATGGAACTAATTATGAACTGCTCGTGCAAGCTCAAAGTCAAGTTAAATTGGAAGAAAAAAGTAAACCAGTTTTCATCAGTCAAAGATCATGCGTAACTTCAGAGTTATTTATTTCCTTTTCCAGACACAAATTATGCAATTACAACAAAAATATAAAAAGACCACAGTAGAGTCCATAATAAATACTTCATTTAAATGTCAAATACCATTGCCAAGTTGGAGACAATAGCTTTCAAAAAATATAATTGGCAGCATCAATTGCACATAGTTAAAGAGGAAGGCTGGCATGTTAAATTTAAAATATAAAGGTATTTGTTGAAATGTTGGCATATGATCACTACCCTCTTAAGTGGAATTAATACTAATTGTTTTGGAGTTTCAGTGTCTCCAAACATAATCAGGTTTCATTATATCATTAAAGATGACAGATATATAAAGCACATGTATATAAAGTATATGTCCTTGCCCTAAATGTTGTAAGTTGATTTTTAAATTATACATATTTGTTGAAAGTTCATTATTTTAAAACATATTCATGCTTAAAAATATACACTATTATTGTCTATCTTCAGCAAAAAAAATAGGTTTGTAATAAATACTAGAAAATGTGTAGAATATTTTTAAAAGAAACAAATACAACCTGTGACTATTATATTCAGAAATCTCTAAATTTGAAAAACTATAAATAGAATTATTTGTCATTTACATCAGAAGGAAAACTGAATATATGAAAACTGAGCATCTATTCTGTTTTCGGGGGAAAAAATTCAGACCTCTTTTAAACATGCAATTCATTAATGTATATCTGTATTGTAATACAGGACTTAAAATGTTGTTTTCTACATAATATATATATATATATATGCATACTTTCATTTTGAAATTTATAGGTTAACCAGCAAGATTTCAGGTACAACATTTTATATACAAGGAAATGAAAGCTTTTGTAAAACCATTTTGAGTAGAATTACTAACTTAAGTAAACCTACCATAGTTGATAGTTTGCACATCAAATCAGTTTTTACTTAAATGTTTTCTGAAATTATATCCAGTCCTTGTTAAATTAATAAACAAGGCAACCAATAATGATATAGATATTAGTATCAAAATGAATAGAATGTAGCCTACTGTTCATAAAAGCCACAATATCTTCAAGGAAAATTATCTAAAATATTTTTCATAACAAAACATAAAATGGCATTAATTGCACACTTATATAATCTGCTTTATAAACTGAGATTCACAGCTTCTGCACTTAGTTTACCACCACTTAAGCTATGGATCATTGCAATCATATGAGAATGTTTGTTTAGTTCTTCTTGCTGAAGTTTGATTAAAGCCTCCTTTTCTTCTAGTCGCCCTTCCAACTGTGACTTCTGAACTTCCAAAGAAGATGCCTGAAAATACATATTATACACTACTTAATATAGCTAACAAACATGCAAACATGCATTCTGTTCACATTGAGTGAAATCAAAATCCAATAAACTCCACGCTATAGATCACAAAACTTACTTAGAACATTAAACTGACAAACCAGTCGGCAATTAGACGATAACTCATAAATCATGTTTTGAAATGGTTTGGTTGTTAATTATAATTGTGCTAAGTATATTTTGGAAGATGTTTCAGTCGATAAATTATACTCATCTATTAATTTTTTTATGAATCTAAGAAGACAGTCTTATTTATTTGAAAGTGCATCTCATTTAATTCAATATATCTCTTGCAATATTTGCAACCTCTATCCATTTTTAATTTCATTTTGCTCAATATGTATACATATCAACAATGAATTTATTCTCTATTCCCTAGAATCACAAGAAGTGGCAGCACACAAATAATCCTAAATAAATAAATAATTTACCTTAATACTCAGTTCTTTTCTTGCCTGTTCTGTTTTACTTAGCTCTTTTCTAAGAATGTCCATTTTGTCCTCCATTTCTATTTTTTCCCTCTGTCTGGCTTTTAGTTTTTCTTCCTGAACTTTTATCTTCTGTTGTAAACCTTTTAAAAAATATGTAAGAAAAAAAGTGGTTCCTTTGACTCCAAAACTTTTGAACACTGATACTTTCCCACAACTATCATTGCATGAATTGTGCAGCACTGCCATCTGCTGAACATTGACCATTCACATTTTATGGTCCTCAGTATTTGTCTTAATAAAGATGCATTTTTCAGTTTAGAGCAAAAACATGCTTGACTTGAAATGGAGATTTTAAGAAACAAAGTATAATAGTTATACTTAATATTGCACAGCCACAATTCCCTTAATTGTGGCTTCTTTAATAAACCACTAATGATAGGTGACACTAAACCAAATCCAAAGAAATCACATTCCAGCTCAGAGGAATATGTGAACTCAGGTTTTTTTTTTTTGCCTAATTTGCCTTACATACAAATAATTTATTCTGAACAACTGAAATTGCTTGTATTAGTTAATTCAGCAACTTACATGTTTCTCAATATATTTGGTACAACAATTACTGTTTCTAACTCATGATGAGGTATCTGTTATTTGGCCAGATAAAGAAAGTATTCTCTTGTGGTATTGTTAAAAATCTGTGCTGTGACTTCTGTACTGATATTCCTGTTTCTATTACTCACCAAGGAAAATACCCTGCACTTTCAGTTACTGTTTGCCAAAGGTTTTTCTTAGCAATTAATTGTGAGTCCAAGTACACATAGTCCTCAACTTACAACCACAATTTAGCCCAAAATTTTTGTTGCTAAGCAAAATAGTTTTTAAATGAGTTTTGCCCCATTTTACAACCTTTCTTGCCACAGTTGTTTAATGAATTACTGCACTTGTTAAATTAGTAACACAATTGTTACAGTAAGTGAATCTGGCTTCCTGTTGACTTTGCTTGTCAGAAAGTCCAAAACATGACCCCGCACCACTGCAACATTACAAATATGACTCAGTTGCCAAGCATCTGAATTCTGATCACATGACCACAAGGATGCTATTATAGTCATAAGTGTGAAAAACATTCATAAGTCACTTTTTTCAGTACTGTTGAATGGATACTAAACAAATTGTTGTAATTCAAGGACTATCTGTAATGGAACATGCTGTTTGTTAAACATAAGCACGTTGTCTAGTGAGGAAAGAACACTAGCCTATAAATAGTTTAATTTACATTAGGCAAAAACCAGATCCTAAATAGCTCAGGGGTAGTAAAATCTAGCAGCAGGTTCTAAGGGATTATGCCCTTCTGTTGTTAGGGCAGAAGATAGGGAGTAGCCCTTTATTTTTTTTAAATATTTGCTTTTTAGGCTTTCTCACTAGCATTAATAATGCTTGAAATAAAATAGTTCCCTGCTGGTTTTGGGAAGAGACTAGGATTTAGGTTGTCTAGTTTTTTTGTTTGGCTTTCTAAAATGAGGGAGCAGGACTTGTATGCTTTATACCAGACGTATTAGAGGCAGATTGTTCTGCACAACGTAGAAAACAGGTTTTTGAAATACTGCTTGTCTTTGGGATGTCTTAAAAGGGAACATAAAAATGAAGGTTAACAGCTTTTCCAATATAAAATATGTAATGATATAAACAGACTGGCAATGAAATGTCTACAAAAAAACAACCAGGCTAAGGGAACATGAAGAACGCAACAAATACGCAATAATAGAACATGTGAATTTTTTTACCCTTTTTTCTCTATAAGCAATACGTATGAAAAAGCTGATATACTTATAAATACTAACTTGATATTTGCCCATCTTTTTCTTGCATCTGTTTGTTCAATTCTTTTCTATGTTCTTCTGTTTCAAGAAGCTGAGCAACAGTTCTGAAATTGTAGGCATAAATATTAGATTTCACATTTTAAAATACATATGAATATAATGATATGCCTCTAAGTATCATATGTATACCAATTACAGCCTTACTTGTTATCAAAGTTTATTTTCATAATATACACCTTCAACAGGAAGATGCACCCAGACCCAAGTGAAACTTTTCATGTCATTTAATAATGTTGAAAACAGGAATTAAGAAGAAAAATGAATCAGATAAAAAGTTGAAGTTGTGTGGGTAACAAGTGAGAAAAAAAGTAAATAGTACAATTGGAATAGGCATAAGATCTCAAAGTCATACAACAATATAAATGTGGGAATCTTAGCAACAGGAAATAAATTTAAAAAATATTTTTATTTAAAAATAATTTTAATTTTACTAAAAATTATTTGTCCCCAATTAGTGAATAATCTTTATCGTGGCTGTTTGACCAAAAAAATCTATACAACTTTTGTTATGATTCAACCAGACTGTTTAATTTAAATGAAGTTTTCTTTAAACTTTACAAAACAACTTAACTTACTTTTCATTCTGTTGCTTCAGCGATTCATTCAGTCTTTTAAGGGTCTCAAGTTGTTTATTCAGTGAATTACACATTCCTTGAAGATTGTTATATTGCTTTTCAATAGTTTCGTGCCTAAAATTTTCAAATTAGTACTATTAAAAGGAATGAATGCTATGCTGTTTTCATAATGTAATATTTGATAACATATATTAGAATGTGGGGTCCTTGGTGCTCTCTGAGTTTGGTGGTTTTCTTGCAAATGTTTCATTACCAACCAGATAATATCATCAGTGCAATGAAACCTTTAGCACTTTAAATTCAACTCTCAGCACTGAAACATATTCCATGAGGAATTCTAACAAGAATACACATTTTTTAAAAAATATTTCTCACCAATTAATTAATATTTCTCACCAATTAATCAACAAATTATTAATTTTCTATGCAACCTTCTGTGGAATATAAGTATGATTTTTGAACAATTAGAAGCAATAAAAAATAAACTTATTTTCTAACAATAAAAGAGACAACAGAACTTGATGTATCAACAAGAAATAAGTAACATCTGCAGTTAATTTTTACTTATACTTTTATTTATAGGAATTCTGTTTTAAGATCTACAAATATTCACCAAGATACTTCCAATTTCCAAACTATGTTGCGAACTCTTAAGATGTTCTTTACATTGCTTCAATCTGGCATTTTGTCTCTTAGAGTTTTGTTCGTTCTTTAGGTTTTTTTATTTTGGGGCAGAGGTTTTTGCTAACCTTGCCATTTCTGTTGCTTGTATTTCTATCACTTTTCCTTACCTATTAGAGGATATGATAAAAAAAGTTCCCATAGCTAAGCAACAGTAGAAAAAATAACTGATAAGATTAAATACTAAGACCTAATTTTTCAGTTTGCTAGCCAACCTTGACTGTACTTTTCATAAATAAGTAATCTGATCTTATAAGATAACTTTCTTTCTTATACCTATGTATAGTAGTGGCCAATATTGTGGAAACCTTTTGGGAAAAGTGTACACTTGAGATTTGATGGTTAATAATACCACTTGTTCTGGAGTAGTACCATAAAATTATATATCAATGGAAAGATAATTTAATCAAGAATGTAATGCAACAAGGTTTGTTCAATTATCTGTGTTCTATGAAAAGTTATAGCCAAATAACCAGAAAAAGGAAGCACAACTTGCTTAGGTTGATATCAGGTAGCTTTCCTTCATCTGATTGTAGCCAATGAGCATGAGTGTTTAGAGAACCAACCAGGTGTTCTCTTGTTTGGCAATAAGCCAATCAGATCACAGTGGGATTCAGTTATTGATGTCACGTATTGAAGCTGAGAAGAGGACATTTGTCAGTGTGTTATATGATCACTATCAAGTTGGTTGGGGGTTTTTTGTGTTCTTTCATTTAATGAGCTTGTAAAACGTAATAAAATTAAAGTAATGGTGTGAAGAGTTGACTGGTCGCCCAGAAAGCGATGTAAAATAGTATTATTAAGTGAACAAGGTTACAATTATAAAGAAATTAGAAGAAAAATTGGTGGAAACTTAACCAAAGGTGACATTTCTAAGTTTTTGAAGAGGTATAAGGAGACCTAGTTACTACAAAACCACATTGGTAAAGGCAGGAAAAGGTGCACAACAGCAAGTGATGATAGAAGAATTAAGAGACTGTGCCTACGTGACAGAAGAAAATCATCTAGGCATATACAAGATGAAATGGTACAATGCAGTGTGAAGTTGAGTGCAAGGACGGTTCCGCGCAGACTGCAGGAATTTGGCTTAAAATCTAGAATTCCACGAAAAAGCCAGTTTTATCTCTCAAACAAAGATCGAAAAGACTAAACTGGGCTAAAACCTATGTTACTTGGACAGAGGAACAATGGGACAGTGTTATTTGGAGTGATGAGACCAAGATCTCCTTGTTTGGTAGTGATGGCATAAAATACATAAGGAAAAGAATCAGAGAAGATTTGCATCCTGATTGCATTACATGTACCGTGAAACACCCAGTTAGTGTTATGATCTGGTTGTATGACATCAAAAGGTGTGGGCAGAATTTGTGTGATTAATGGGAATATAAATGGCCAAAAATACCTTAATGAAATACTTGAGCCCAAACTGAAACCTTCCACAGATGATCTTTTCTAAGACAATGAAGCATTTATATTTCAACAGGATTCAACTCCATGTCATGTTGCTGCTGTGTGCAAAAAGTGGTTTCAAGATAATCATATTCCACTGTTGGAATGGCCTGGGAATAGCCCAGACCTTAACCCAATTGAAAATCTATGGAGCTGAATAAAGAAACTTGTTAGTCAGAAGCGACCCAGCAATAAAACCCAGTTATCATTAAATGTTGGTTTCACATTATAACAGCTACAGAACTAAAGGACTTGGTTCACTCCATGGGGAGATGTTGTAAGGCTGTAATTCATGCTAAAGGTTACCCAACTAAGTATTAACTGACGTGGTAATTTTTGTATATCTCATTTTTTTCTATGGTGATAATTTTTGTATATCTCATTTTTTCTACGTGTTTCATTTTTCTTCTTTATAACTGCTATTTAATAGCAAATCCTTCATAAAAGTTATTGTATTACATTCTTGATTAAATTATCTTTCCAATGATATATAATTTTATGATACTGCTCAAAAAAAGTGGTGTTATTAGCCATCAAACCTCAAATGTATACTTTTCTCAAAAGGTTTCCACAATTTTGGCCACTACTATAGAATAAGATTAGCAAAGGGTTCAATTTAGCTGTTGTCTATGGAGATTCTCAGTCATCCAGATCATGGTTATCCCAAAGATGCTTTTTCTAGAGGCAATTAGACTTTCTTGTGTTTTTTTTTTTTTTTTTGGGGAAGACATTTCGCTTCTCATCCAAGCTTTTTCAGCTCTGAAAGATCCTCAGGAGAATCTTCAGCCAACACAACATATGTGCACACTTTAAACCCAAGAATACACTAAGGCAGAAGCTTGTCCACCCCAAGGAAAAAACACCCAGACACAAACTAAGCAACATGGTATATGCAGTACAATGCAGTGAGACATGTGCAGATCTGTTGGGGAAATCACTTCATAAACACATGGCACAATGTAGGAGAAAAAACACATCAGGACAAAATTCAGCAGTGCATCTACATTTAAAAGACAAAGGCCACTTTTTTGAGGATAGGAAAGTCCACATTTTGGACAGAGAGGATCGCTGGTTTGAAAGAGGGGTCAAAGAGGCCATCTATGTCAAAATTGAACAGCCCTCTCTCAAGAGGAGGAGGGATACAACATCATCTTTCTCCAATCTCCAGTCCTTTCAGCAGTTCCAAGAAGGCTCCATACACATTTGCATCACTCAAGTGACCTTGAAAACACAGATAAACTTCCAAGTGGCCTCAACGACTCTCTAAAAGAATGAAAATGACCAGCTGTCTGCAAGGAATATAAATCCTTCCATTCCTCACCATCCAGTCAGAGCTGAAGAACTTTCTTAGATGAGAAGTGAAACGTCTTCAAAGAAAAACAAGAAAGTCCTATTGTCCTTTGGGACAATTTAGCTGTTGGCTTCTGAAAACTTCCAATTTATATTTGAGAAAATGTATTATGTCTTTACTATCTAAATTTTGCAATATCTGATAAATTTCAATCAATACTGTTTGAAGAGTAAACTTCTTTTCTGCGCAACTTTTTTCAGCCTATGAGGTAAAAGGAAGGATATTACCTTTATTCAGCTAACATCCATCACTCTGAAGAATTGTTGGCACTTACAGGTAGTACTAGACATATTAGGGCAATTGGAATCAGGATTGCCATCACTAAGAAGATGTGATCATAAAGTGCAAACTACTTTGCATAGAAATGACAATAAAGGTAATCCTGGCTGTCATCATTAAATGAATATCAAAGTCATTAGATGAGGCAACTTCATGCCAACTTTCCTTTAATTATAGAGCTACAAATTCTATTTGTCAATAACAATAAAATCTCCATATTCATCTTTTTTGATGATATAAACAATTATATAATCTGAGTGCTAACTTTTTCTTTTTTCTTTGTTTTCCATGGAGAAATGCTTAGCAGGGTTGTATCTTACTTTTGAAGCAGCTCAATGGAAGATCTTTTCAGTATCTCATATTCTTCTGCTATTGTTTGCAGTTTCCGATTATGCTGAAATAATTGTTCAATATCATTTTGTGCCCGTTCAGATTCTGTCTGCTGTGCTTTCAATAGAGATTCCAGATCTTCATTTTTCCTTTCTGTATCCTTCAGTATTGAGGCAAGCGTCCTAGCCTTTTGGAATTTGTGCAAAATGACAGTTCCATTGTGTGAATGAAATGTTAGGACACTAGACCAATGAATCATGCTAATGCTAAAGCAACACTTAAGGTTTTTAAATTTTAAGAACCCAGACAGCAAACTAGCCTTTAAAGCATAATTTGGAGATATACAAATATAGTATCTACGATCATAAAAGGATAATGTTTTTATTCCAAGTAAGTGAAACCCTAATCTAAATTTATTTTCAAATACAAAACAAGGCAGATTATATGAGCAATTTTGTACTGACAGATGTACATACATAATAAATGAATCCTTATATCAGGGCTTTTCAACCTTTTCACCCACTGTACCACTTTTAGGATATGACAATATCCGAGTACCACCAGTCGCCTAGCAAGGTGTCAAAAACTTGATGACCCCCCCCCCAAAAAAGGAAAAAAGTGATGAAGTACAGGTAGTCCTCGACTTACAACAGTTCGCTTAGTGACTGTTCAATGTTACAATAGCACTGAAAAAAGCCACAGCCGAGCAAGACACCTGCCTGCCCACCCGGCAGCGCTCTTTCTCCTGTCCAAGGTTTTCATTGTTCTGAGCATTTCTGTTGAGGATTGGCAGCAGGGGTGGGGTGGGGGTGTTTGGTTTTTATTCCCCCTATCTGCTGGGTGGTTGCAGCAGGTTTTGGTCACTTCACATGTCCCTGGGACACTGTAACCATCATAAATATGAATTAGTTGCCAAGCATCTGAATGTAAATCACAAGACCCTGGAGATGCTGCAACATTCCAGGTGATTGGTGCTTCTTCAGGGCTCAGCAGAAGGGCCAGGATCAGGGCCGAGCTCCAGCTGGAGCCTGGCGCTGATCCTGGTACTTCCACTGAGCCCTGACAGTCCCGAAGAAGCGCTGATCCTGGCGCTTCCGCTGAGCCCTGACAGCCCTGCAGCTCCAGCCATCTCTCAGTCAGGCTTGTGTGATGCTGCCACCCATTCAGCTCATTCCTTTCCCCCATTACCACTTTTCTAGGATGGTTGCATACCACCTGCCAGGTGCCAATGTACCACAGGTGGTACCCGTTCCACTGGTTGAAAAGCCTTGCCTTATATGATAATTCTGCTTTACCCACCTCAGATTCAGCTTGAGCTCTCTGGCAACGATACTGGGCAATAAGTCTATCGGCTTGAGAAAGAGCTAATGCCTTTGCTTCCAAAAGGTCCTGCAACCTTGTTTCCTTAGACTAAAAAGAAAATTATTGCAAAATGAACTGCACATTCAGAGCATGCACATGAAAAAAAAGTCTATTAGATATACTCACTGCCAATGCAGACAATTTCTGTTCATATACTTCCATTATTTCAGATACCCTGATGTCTGTGACGGATTCCTTCATCTGTTGGAAATGTTCATATTATAAGCTAAAGCAATATGTAAATCTTAATTCAAAATTGTACCTATATGGACAAATAAAAAACTTGACATGAGGAATGACTACACAAGTTCAATTGACAAAGTGACATCATACAAACCTGGGTATTAATGATATTAATATAATTATTGAAATATTGCAAAATAAAGTTTTCTATGCCCCTATCACTAAGTTTATAAAAACAGCAAATGAATATTCATTAATTTCTATATTAATGGATTCTATAGCACATTGATTATATGGTGCTGTAATGATGAACAAAAGCTGATATATATTGTCTTACAAAATCAATTTACTTAATTTCCTTCATTCAGATATTTAGTGGAGTTTGTCCAAATTTCTGGGTACTGCAGATTCAAATCCCACACTGAACTACACTATACTGCGGTTTAATATATCAAGACAAAAATGTTTTCATGTTTGTGTTAAAAGCACTAACCTCTAAGCCAGATTGGAGTTTGTGAATCAGGTCCTGAATTTTGAAAGTTGCAGCATCACCATCATTGGGATGGCAAACATTAGAGGATTTTACTGAATTTACAGAAGTCATGGATGCTTGCAGGTGACTTCTTTTAGTGACATGCTCAGATTCCTGTTGTCTGTAAGCATTATTGGCTGCAATACTCTCACCAAGCCTAATAAAAGCATACACAAAAGGTAATATTAGTGGGAAAGTGTCTGTTTTATAGAATAAGCTCAAAATGTGAAATACTTGCAGTGTCTCAAGGTAGATTTTCAAAAATATTTTTTATGAAAGACAGTATTTTTTAAAGAAACAATAGGAAACTTACACTATGGCAGGAAAATCTGGCAACGGGGCTGCTTCAAATAATATTCTAAGCCCTGCTTGAACTTGTGCCCTGTGGTCTGATGTTAAAGCCAAAGCCAAAGGGGTAACCAAGCGTTGGTCCTAGATACAGAGCACTTATTAGTTAAACAAACCTTTTTTTTTTCCAAAACAGTCAGCAGTGGTTTAAACAGGTTTTTGCACAAACAGTACAAGTGATAGATTTTTTAGCATCACCTTCCTTTCAGCCTCTTTTCATCTGCCCAGGTGATATTTATGTTTTTAAAGGTTATGGAGGTTGGTTTGATAAGTCTAATAGTCACTGTTAGAAAATGATCAGAATGATATGCATCATTTTTAGAATGATTAATATAAATATTTAAAACTTTGTACCTGAAGAACTTTGTAAAAACTGACTTCCATGTTAGGAACCAGCTGCTTAAGCTTACTCATCAAATCCAGTGTTTTTAAGATTAGATCAGCAGCAAGTTTGCTAAAAATGTTAAGAAAGCATTTTATAATGAATAAACATTCAAAATTAAAATAATTACTCTACGAAACCTATAATCAAGGGGAATGTAAAATTAAATCAAGAGAGCAAGTAATGTCAGAAGGATATAGTTGTCAATGGTTTTCCACTTACAGATATCAAGAGGGTTAAAAAAATAAAAAGACATGGTTTGGAGCAAAGTAAGATAGAATTTGAAGTACCATTGTGTGTAGTGATGATGAACACGTAATAGCTAAAATGTTTAACTCCATGATTATAGGATTCATTGTTTAGGAATTCCTCTAAACTTTGAAGTATAAAGTGTTATGCTTATAATAAGAGTCTATTATGATTCAATAGTACTCTGAAAAACTTTGTGTTTTTAACTTGATGAAAAAAGAATGGCAAAGTTAAAAAATAGTAATTGTTCAATTATTGCAACCACATACTTATACATTAAATTCCATCTAAAACAAAAGCAAAGGCTATGAATTTTAGGGAGACTTTGTTAGCTATAAAGGCTTCACAAAAATATAATAGGGACTAGTCCCTGCAAAATTTCAATGTATCCTTTTGAAATCCAAAGGTATGGGTTGGAAAAAATAAAAAATGATAAAAACCCTAGCTTGTGCTTACCTCAATTCACAGTCCTTAAATTTTGTCCCAAAACTAAAATCAATTCCACTAGAAGTAAATTGGTGTTCTATTAAAGTAGTACACTTGCTAGCTGTTAAAACTTTAGTGACATGCATTTTCAGCATATCATCTGCACAAAGAGGTACATTCTGTTAAGGACTCTATTTTTTTGAAATGTTCAGCTTATGGTCACATTCACTAATGAATACTGTGTATTCCTCACTTTCTGACTGCTTTGTTTAACAACCTTTGAAAGTTATGATGGTTGGAAAAAAAGAAAGCAGGAATTAACACCAGACAAACAATCCAAAGACAATACCCTAATCAAGAAACTACCAAGGAGGAAAATTACATTTCTACCAATACTGGAAGCAAACAGGAAGCAAACTCCACACCTAGTTGGGTAATAAATCATCTGCAAGCAAACAACAAAACTCAGAAACATCAAGGGTTCCACAGTTCAACCATGAGCTACCTATATTCTCTTCTGTTTAGGAAAACAAAGCAGCTTTGCAAACAATCCTCACATTGTAGCATCCTACAGTCACATGAGTGCTATTTGCATACTTCACAACCAGCTTCAAACAAACAGAATTTATGGAGAACATGGAAGCGAAATTACAGGTTGCAATTACATGATATCTTTCTTAATGACTGTAGGAATTTGCTTAATGTCAAAAGCAGATGTGAAGTTGTAAGTTCCCTGATTTTTCACTTAGACATCATGGCACTTAGTGACAAGTTGCTGGTCCCAATTGGGATCAGTAAACGAAGATTGGCTGTAAGTAAAACTCCCTAATGATGCAAAATGAAAGTCTAAACAGGAAAATATATCTAATTCAAAGTAATGTTAAAAACTTGGGAATCTCCAAGCAATGGCCACAATAACTGTCACATGAAGAATGTTTTTCTGTATTTTACCACAATTTCCAAAATAAGTCAAATAATAAATTATAATTTTATTATAGTCAGACTTTTCTTAATTTCTGTGGAATATTATAAATTCATAATGGTAAATATTTCTGCTGGATATATAAGGTGTCTTGCAACAAAAATCCAGATGTTGAAAGAATAATAAGCAACATCAAGAAATCTGTCAGATAGTTAAGTGCCAATTATTGATATATTAATGCAGAAAATGGATTTCCTATATAAAACACTAAGAAAAATGTTTAAACATTTTAAAAAATGTTTCAATGTCCTAATTGGTTTTAAAATTATCTAGATGAGTGACTCTATTTTGTCTTAAACCTTTTTCCTTTTTGCACTGTTATCTAATAGAAACGTTTTTAAGCTTTATATAATTGAAATGTATTTATCTTATTTCAAATAAATGATTTTCTGACAATCTTCAATAACAAAAAATTACAAGAAGGATATTTATCAAGATATCAATAGTCTTGATCATTCGTTCACATTTTTTCTTTGCCAACAGATCTTCCAGTATGTGATCAGGAAAATGAAGATGGTCAAGAAGAATGGGCAAAAGAAGATCCACAAAGCGCTCAGCAGTTGCATTATTGCCTGCATCAATAACATCCTACAACAGAAATATTATCAATTTAATGGTATTGAAACAATTGAATAATTATCCTATCTCACCAAACTCTGTGGAGTATAATTTATTATTTTTTAAAATGCAACCTAACCATAAAATTTTACATTAATTTGACTTGATCTTAATTTTACTCATTTTTGATTTTAAAAAGTTTATAATTTAGATATATTAGCTTAAATAGACTAATTTTTAAACACTGTTTTACAAAAATATTATTAATTGTTGATCTGATTTTCATAATCACAATGTTCAGTATCTTTCCCTTTTTAAAAATATAATAATGAATTATTTTATTACAAGAATTTACAAAATTGTAGCTGATAGGTGCTTACTTAGAGGAGGAAAAAATATTTTTTAAATTTAATTTTTTTAAAATAAGAAAATTTGTAAGGACTTTAATTCTTGCCTATGTATTTTCAAATGTTCATTTATATAAATGTTTTACTACTTCACAGGCCCCTAATAAGTACACACAGGTTAAGAAGTGCCTTTATATACTCTTCCTCTTATGTGATCAAATGCCAACAATGTCCTTCTGATTCTCTGTAGAACAAACAGGACAAACTTTATATAAATGAATTAATGGACATAATTTTGACATCAGAACTTAAAAATAGGACAAAATAATAATGTTTCAATCTCCCAGGACACTCTGTTGCAGACCATAAAGTGACTATCTTTAAAAAATTATACTGTACTAAGAGAGATGGCTGAACTCATATTTCAAAAGGTTTCAGCGAATCTTAAAAAGGTTTTAATAAATACAACATTTTTAATACATTACAACTGCTACTTGTAATGATCATCATCGTTATCTAGATTCATTATAGTTCCTGTCCCATGCAAGAAGACTGTGGCAAGGTATAATCTGTAATCTGTCTCACATGCATCTGTATAACAAACTTGTCTTTCTTTTCCTTCTCTGGCATCCTAATTTAAATCTGGTATCAGACTCCTTGCATCTAATGAAGTGAACTGAAGTTCATGAAACAATCAAATTTATCAATAAATTTATCAATATTTCTTGATATATTTTTTTGCTACTATAAACATTCGTCCTACAAAAAAACTAGGAGTAACCCAATACAACAGCCAAAACATTGAATTCATTACCTCAAATAGCTCCCGGAATAGCTCCAAAGCAAGATTTGAACACTTCTCAGTTACTTCCAGTGGCTGGTTTGACCAGTGTACTAAGACAATAGATGAGTCAGAATTCTTAGCACGAGTTGCAAGTCTTGTACTTGCACAGGCTGCTACATTTGGTTCCAGTACTGTTTGACGTACAATATGACGGAGTTGTGTCACTGAACAAAATGCAAGTAGCAATTCTAATATCTAAGAGAAACAATAATTATGTTTTCTGTTTTCAAAGAATAACATTCTTTACACTAGTATATAAGACAATTTCAGATTTCTGATGCAAAGCTTTATTGCTGAAGCACAATATTGCTTTAAAATACCTTAAAAAATTAAAACACTATCAAATTGTTTATTTCACTCAGTATTTTAAGCAGTTATAGCATTGAAAATGTACAATTTTTTAAAAAAGAAATTTAGCAAACTATCTATCCAAGAAGATGTAGTTTATCTCAGGGAAAAACATACCATTAATTATTTTGGATTGCATCTGACTATTCCAGTTCATGTTTGGGGGCTTATCAAGAAGATGCTATGTGAGCAAATAAATCTGTGAAAGTGTGACAAATAATAAACAGGCTCTTACGGTATTGTGGCCTGTAATAAAAAATTGATAGTATTTCTACTATCTACATTTTCAGTTGCTTTTTTTAATATTAGAAAGAAAGACAAAGCGATAGACATAAAGAGTCTAAGAAAGTCACAACAGAACCACAAAATGGCTGTTATAGATCACAAGCACAGAAAATGAAACAGAGAGGAAAGGGCACAAAGGGACACAGAGACACACACTGATTCACACAGAGGGGGTCAGACACAAATATAGAACAATCAGAAGGACGAAACATCTACACAAGCATACAAAGGAACAGAGAAAAATAAACCACCCTTTTCTTCTGATATTCACTGACTGGAAATAATTCCTTTTCCTTATCAATACAAGGATGCTATTATTCCAAGAATCATTGATGCCTGACCCTTCCGTAATTTCCCTCCAACCAATTTTGTCAAGCAAAGGAAATTTTTGTTGGTGCTGTCAGTTTCTCTGGAATGGAATTGCTATTTGTATTGTAAAGGAACAATATGACTGAAGCAGTTGAAGAAAAGAAGGGAGAAAGAAGAAATATGCAATGAAGCATCCAGCTGGAGCAAGTAGAATAAGGAAGGAAAATCTGCAGAGAGGATAACTGATGATAGCATTGATGACATAGAAAAGGAGCTAATTTAGAAGGACAGTGAGTAGACAAATGTGACCTAGGAATCACAAAGAAAGCTATCTAGCAAAAAATCTTAACATATTAAATTTAATAACTGGGTGGACAAAGAACTGAAATAGTTAAGGAACTGAAAGGCAGCTAGGTAAATAAATGTATATCCAAGTCTTGGAAAATCAATGCTTTCAAATTTAAAAAAATATAAAATGATTGAAGACTGGTTAATACATCAGAAAGTATTGTTTGATCAAAGAATATTTTTAAAAGATTGAATATTAATTCTCTCTTTCTCTCTCTCTCCATGTTTGTATGTGTCTAAGAAACCGAGAACTCTTTTTACATACAGTTCTTTTTTATTTCAAGTTATAGCATGTTAGCACAGGAAAGGAAATAAAGTTATACTATAGTTGAACTTTTTTGGGTGGGAAGTGCCTTGAGTCAGTATTGACTCCTGGCAACCACTTGGACAGTCTCAGAATGTTGTTGCCTATTTCCTTGGGCTGAGACCATGAATGGTCCAAGGCCACCCATCTTGGCTTCATGCCTAAGGCAAGACTAAAACTCGTGGTCTTCTTGTTTTTAGCTTGCTGCTTTAACCACCACATCAAACTGGCTTTTTCACATTTTATTTATTTATCAAAATTAGGAACTGCCCATCTCCAACACAGAGCAACTCTGGGCAGTGTACAATTAAAATATAAAAGCATAAAGACTATATACATTTATATTAGGAGAAAAACAGGATTAAAATAATTAAAATTAAGAAGGCGAAAGGAGGCCCTTCAAAGTGCTAACCAGCTCCATGGCTGCATGGTCCTCTGTGAGCCCCAAGAAAGTCAGCAGAGCCAGATTTTCAGATATTTCTGAACAGCCAGGAGAGTGGGCTCCCGAAGAATGTGCCAAAGAGCGGGGGCAATGATTGAACTATTTTCTAAAATATGAAATTGGTAACTTTGAGGAGATATTTAGCTTTATCAAGGCTTTATCAATGTATGTAAATGGAAACTTGTTTTCCTAATGTTAAGGAATGGATTCAAGATATACTGTATATTATTAACTTTTGAAACATTTTATATTCTAAAAATGAGAAATGGAGTAATACGTTTCTATATGGCCTAGACCAGTGATGGCGAACTTTTTAGAGACTGAGTGCCCAAATTGCAAGCTGAAACCCACTTATGTATCATTGGGTGCCGGGTGGGCATGGCCCATTGGATGGGCATGACTGCGGTGGTAATGGCAGACTGGGTGGGATTATAAAGTTCAATCAATCAATTCCAACTTTGCGAGATCTTTTTTTTCCCCGGTGAGAAGTTGAAATTGATTGATTGAACTTTTTTTTTTTTTTGCAAATGGCGGCAGAGCCCTAAAGAGAAAAGGTTTTATAAAACCCAGCTGAAGGCCTAGGACTGGGGTGACAGCGCGCATGCCCACAGAGAGGGCTCTGCATACCACCTGTGGTACGCGTGCCATAGGTTCGCCACCATGGGCCTAGATTTAAGATTAATGATTAAACTTAAATTGATATTACATGCTTCTCACTTGTTTTTATTAGTTTCTTTTTCTTCATTAATGTTAAGCTTACTTTAATCATTTGAATTATGTAGCTTTTGTAGATGTTATGTAGATTCACTAATATAACTTTTATTATTGTGGCTTATTGCATTTCACCAATATAAAAAAATTACTAAACACACACACACACACACACACACACACACACAATTATTGTGCACCTAGAAAGTACCTTTGCTGAAGAATCAGAATCTCTTCCATGAAGGAGGCCTATCACCTGATTGAGACAAGATGTAAAATGTTCATACCTAGAGTTATGAAGGAAAAAAGGAATAAAAAGGAATACTGAAATTATGAGTATTTTGACAGGCAAAAATAAAAATTATTTGGTAAGGGGTTTATCATACCTATGCTTTACTAGCTGAAATACTGTACAGATCATTTTCAGTTAGTTGCAATGACAATGAACAAGTGGTACTTATGACTGTTTCTTGAAGTTCTGGCCATGATACCTGCAGTTGTGTGATTCTTGACAACCAACTTACACTTATAATAGTTGCAGGGTTCTGTGGTCACGTAATCACCATTTGCAACCTCATTGCTATTTTCCACAAAGTTAATGAGGAAGCTGGCAAGCAAGGTTGTATGTTGTTCTTGCTAGTTTTTTCCAAGGAGTCCCACTATGAAATACAAGATTCAACAGTGTGCTTGCACCAAAGCGGCTTCTTTCCAGCTTACATGCATTTGTGCAGTGCAGCAACATCCGCTTCCAGTATATATACAGTGGCATTATGGATACATGCTTGTGGCTATGTGGCATGATCCTTGAAGCAGCTGTTCCAAAACTGATATCCCCTTATGGGACTGCAGTGTGATCCCAGTAACAGAGTGCCTTGCTTTGCTCCAGTCACAAACAAAGGTCTTTATTGCTGGGACTGTGCTGCAATCCCACAAGCAGCTGTCATTTTCAGAGTGGCTGCATTTAGGATCAGCTTGGTGCTATATGGTAAGATCCCAGAAGTGTCCACTTGGAAATGTCTGCTTGTCGGATTGCGCTGTGCAGTCCAGCAATGGAGGTGCTTGCTTTGCTAACGTGAGCTCTGCAGCATTCTGTAGCACCAGAATATCTGGCCAATCATAAATTAAGAACTACATATAGATATAGCCAGAGACTTCCTCTTATTCTGTTAATTCCAGCATTCTGAGATTAGTAGAATTAGTCTGGCTAACTAAGCATGAACACATCTGGTAAATGACAACCTAAGCTGTACATTAATCTGTTAATTGAGTAGAATAAAAAAATCAACAAAATGAAGTCTGAAAGGAGGAATGTAACAGAAATGTTTTTTTTTTAAATTAAAATTTTAGAAAAGACTAGCTGTATCTAAACTGATCTAGCCCGATTATTGGCAAGCCCTGACGGAGACTGATCTCTTATCACCTTATATTAAATAGAAATTAAAGCTATGGGAAAGTACTATAGAATTCAATTCATAACTTAAGTTTGAAAGATCCAAAGAATCAAAGAAAAGATTGGAAAAATATAGCAAATCAAATCATTCAGTAAGAACCAGTTGGACAAATGTTCACAGGAAATATAAAATATATTTATATATAAATAGAGGGATGTAAATTTTTTATTATTTATTATGTAAACCCTACTTGGTAAGATAATCTGCAATCTTGGGATTCTTCAGGAGATCCATAAGCAGATCCACAGAATATTTTCTTGTTAGTGTTCCATCACCATTCACAAGGATATTAAATATTAATTGGAAAGTCTGGTGAATATTTCTGGAATGAAACAGCTACACAAAAAAAAAACTGATTTACAATCATATGAATTTTACATTACAGATCAAGTCAGTTGCATTCAATGGAAGGAAGGGGCTATCAGACTTTTGGTCTTGTGGGACTTCAAGTTGTCTCACTTAACAGTCTGAGGGTATCAAGATCACAATGAGACTGTCCCAGAAGATCACAGCCCAATTTAGAACTCCAAATACTAGATCTGTTTTTCGTCTTTGAATATATGAGATATGTACTGATTGTGGCTATTTGTATCAATACTTTGTCACAGGCAAATCACTCTATGGTGTCTTTAGAATTTCCAGTAACAAGGCTTTCTTTAGGGAAGAAGGACATAGTCAGTCTACCCAGATCACACAGTTTAGATCTCCAGAATTTCCAAAGAGAACTGAAGGAATTTTCCATAGCTACAGTATGCCAGGTAATGCTCTGGGTTGCCCAATCAACAGCAGAATTGATAGGATTATTGTTAAGGGATATTGTTATTAGACTGCAATATTTTTTTAAAAAGTCTTGTTTGTTAAGGTAAGCTACTCAGAGCTATTGGAAATTAAGTGATGTAGAAACTATAGCAAATAAAGAAATAAATATAAAAACACTATGCATAAGCTTCTTTTAAATTGAGTCAGGCAGGCTTACCTTTTCTCCAACTTCTTCATTTAATGTAAGACTTGATAATATAGAAAGTGCAAAAACAACCATTGTTAGACTACTGTGGCCCAAGAAACTGATCAGAGTGCGATAAAAACCTTTCACATTCGTCTAATACAAAGAGAAAAAAAAAATCTTTAAAAAATGCAGTGAGATTAAAGTTACAGCCTAATTCAATACATTATATGCACTACAATAATTTTATGTTAGTTGAAAAACTGAATTTGGGGACCCAACATACTCCTCAAAATCATACAATTGAAATATCTAGCCAAAATTATTAAAAATGCAACTATTTTAATAGTTGCTCATCAAAGCACTAAGGCTGCACATAATCAGAGTGACAAATAATACTATACAATCCTAAATATATATACCTAAATAGTGTATAGGCTATGACTACCATATCTGCAAAATACTATGCTACCTACAATATACTTCACTGCTAACATATCAGTATTACAATTATATTTACAATTATATAAAGATAACATAAGCAAATTAGATGGATAATTTTATTTAGCAACAAAACTTACAGACTTTGCAGTCACAAGATATAATATTCAACATTCATAACAATAAACATGTTCCTTCTTTTAGCATTAATAGTGGTCAACATTCTGAGATCTCAGTTTAAACTTTGATTAGTTTCAATCACAGATCTTCATGGACTTCAAAGACTTATCTTCGTTCACACAATCATTTAAGCAAGTAAGAAAACACAGTTGGAAATGTATTAGGAAATGTTAACTTATGTAAACTTATGGTCACAGATGTCTACATTCCATTTAATTATAATGAAGATGGATCTGATTCTTTCATAGTGGAACTGTAGAATAGTAGAATGAAAATTATATTGAAAAAATGAGAATCATTGTGCAAATATTTTTGCACAATGAAATTGAATGGGAAAAAACATCATAATCACACAAAAATAAAAGTTCCCAGATTAAGCAAGTAATTGTTGTGCCCTTTATTGGAACAAAAGTGCTTTGATTTCCAATTATTAAATTATGTAAATAATATTTTTTTAAAAGACTTCAATAAAGCAAATTTCTTACCAATGACTTGATATATGTTTGAACAGTGAGATTATGTCGACAAAGATTTGCCATAAGTCCTAGGCAGGGTATAGTTAACTCATCTTCTGTAGACTGACTGAAGTTTTTAAAAAAGTTCATTAAATATATTCACATAATTCAATATTTATTTACTAATAATAATTTTACGAGTTAATCATTATTCATTCAGAAAATATTCACTCTGCTATACAAAGAACCCATTAAATTTAGTATATACATAGATTTGTATCTGTTAAGCTTTATATAACCGAATGTAAATATTAGTGATTTAAGGCAACATTAAAGAAAAATATAAAATATAAAATTCAGCATTTAAACTACTCAAAATACTTTATTAACTTTATTAATTAATAAAATGAAAAAACAAGGTGACAGATGGCTGACAAGAGATTACCTATAGTTATGTGGTCAATAATGCAAAGTGCTAAAACTACTTGTGAATGCTGGCTACATTCTCACATATATCACCTCCCTAAGAAAGATACTTGGATGCATTGAATATTGGGAGACCTATTCTACTAAATGTTCAGGGCAGACCACTTCTACAATAAACATAGGTTGCTTATATAATAACATCAAGGACAGCTGGCTCCTATTGTACATTCAAGCTATTGGGATTATACTATAGATATTATCTGATGCAGTAGCATCTGACCTAACAAAAAGAGAGATTCCTGTGGCACAGTCTCATAACCTGTAAAGATACAAAACGTTCTTGGAATTTATTCCAAACTTTAAATCCTGTAGCACATTTTCAGTAAGAATCCCTATCATCAAATATCTAGGGGGACAGAAGTTCCTAGTTTAAGATTCCCCACCAAGGTGAGCATAAAATAATGCTTGACACTCTCATGCCAGGAATAATAAGAAGTTTAGCAAGCAAGTACGGTACTACTCTAAAGCTTTAGGTAAGCTTTGTATGTTCAAAATCTTCATAGACCACAATGATAGTAACCATGAGGAATGCTCATAAAGCAAAGCAGGCATTAATATAGAAGGATAAAGTATCGTCTCTTTGTTAGAGTGGCAGGAACATCTCCAAAAAGAAAGCCTAGTTTAAACTTCTAGAAAACAGTCCAATATACCCCCGAACTTAAAACTCAGTTGACACATATTTCCATGCATCTCAAGACTACATAGGGTTATATTATATAGGATAACTGAACTGAAACATCCAGGGACAACATATAAATGTACCTACAACTGCAGATTTAGTTAACTATTGCATTTAAGAAACTTACATGCGAAGCATTAGGAAAGAAATTAAGTCTTCAATATTAGCACTTTTCTGCAATATTCTTGCATTGTAGGTCAATTTCTGTAGCAGTTGAATACTCTGTTAAATAAAAAGAAAACCGATGAAAATATAACTGTTTGCATTAGATTTACCTGCATTTACTTTTCAGATGCATAACCAGATAATATATTATACTATTTTGGTTTTAGAATTTAAATATTTTGTTTCTACCATGGATATTTTATTTAATGTTTGCAATTATTGTAAATGTTCAAGTTAAAATTGTGGTAGATATAATAAAATAATTCAACTGAAATTGTATTAAAATTATAACCTACTAATTGCTTTTTAAAAAAATCAGTTAATTTAACCAAAACCAAAATAACTATGAAATTCAATTCTCAGAGCGCAATATCAAACATTAAAAAAACTAATACTCAGATCAAATACTCTTGCTTGATAAATCTATCTCTGTTTTCTCTCAACAGGTTTGGTCAATAAAATGTTGATCTGAGTAATGCTTAAAGAGAGATTAATTATTATTACTGTTGCCCATTATTTTACATCTCAGTTAATGTAAAACTTTATGATATAGCTGATGATGCCAAATTTATAAGAGGAATACTTTCAGTTCCAAGATTCATCAAGATTAAAGGCAGATATGGTTACTGTGGGTACCAGAAACTATTTCCTTAATTGCTGGTTAAAATTGATTTTTTTTCTTCTATGTGTCTGGCTCAATTGGTTCTCGGAGTTTGTTTTAAATCAACCTGGCTAACAAGAGCTATTAGCAAATTCCAATCCTTAAGACACTTTTGATTCTTTTGAAAGCCTATGTCCGTTAGGATTGAAAATGTCAGGAGTTATCTTAAACAATGTATCTGGGATATTGATTTTCATACCAGTTTAAGCCTAGTATCTAATCCTATAGTTATATCCTTAATTCTTTTCAAATGGGCATGTGCCATAATCTTATCTCTCTTCAAATACTAATTCTGAAATTTCATCGGGCTTTTCTCTTGACCAGGTTGGGGGCAGTTCTGCAATTCTGTAGGAGCAGTATAAAACATTCCTTTTCAGCAACATTATGCCTGTGTGAATATGGCTCTATGAAAAGCCTCAGCCATTTGCTCCTTTCCTGCTCTCTGTATTGATAATCTCAAAAGATATATATTTAGCTCATTAAAAAAAAAACTACTCTAGGAGAGAGCACAATGTTTATCTGTCATTGCTTCTATCTGATCAAGACTGTCACATTTTTCCAGGTTGCCCAATTTTGTGCTATTATTTGTTGTATTGTCCTACCTATAGCTAAAGTTTAGCATAGTTTTTTGTGATTGCCACTGCTAAATGTACTGTAGTTACTATAACAATGTACTTTATATTATTTCATTGGAATTTATATATTTCTAAAGTTTTATTAATAATAATTATGGATTAATGCATTTTATTGTTGCTCTCTCTGGCCTAAAGGCCACAATAAAGGTTTTATTTGATTTGATGTAGCTGTTTTTAGATAAAAATATAAGAAGCAATCAAAGTGTGCCTCTAAACTATGTCAATTAAAAATATATTTCTGATAGCAATTGTGCAAATACTAATACTATACATTATTCTGGTCTTCCTAGTATTTGTATTTCAGCATAGTCTGAAATGCTAAGTATACAGGATCTGGCAACAACTTACATAAGAGACCATCAGCTGCCAATACTATAAATGCCACAAAAGAATATAATAATAACAATAATAAATAAATGTTATAATAATAATTTATTTCATATAAAGTATTGCATTTTCTTACTTGCAATATTACTGGGTCAATAGGATTTGTAGAACTTCGAAGAATCACACTTGCCAGGGCACCACACAGATTGTAAGCATTCTGAAGGGCTTCCCTGATTTCATTATCTAGAACTATAAGTAACAGATATACATGTATCATTAACACTCTAAGAAATATATTCAGAGAAACTGAAAATATTTCAGAAATGAGCCTCCACAAAATCATTTTTTTACTTTTACATAGACAGTTAACTCTAACCATTATACATATAAATATAGGTAGTCCTCAACATATGACTATTTATTTAATGACCATTTGAAATTATGAAAAGGTATCTTACAATCAGTACTCGCACTTACAACCGTCACAGTGTCTCTGTGATTATATGCTCAAAATTCAGGCAACCGGCATGTAGTTATGATGCTTGCACAATCGTGGAGTCATGCTATTTGTAACCTTCCCAAGGCACTTTTAACAAACAAAGTCAATGGGAGAAAATGGATTAGCTTAACAACTAAGCAAAAAGGCTAATAAAATAACTCACTTAATCACATCGCTTAGTGACTGAAGTTCCAGTCCCAATTACGGTTGTATGTGGAAGACCACCTGTATGCATATATTCAAAATTCAAGCTAACTTAATTTAGCAAACTGAAAACATTTCAACTGTTTTTCTATCTCAGATTTTATATTTTGGAGATAATTCATTTCTGATGAAAATGTCATAATCACTTCTCGTTTACATATTCCACAATTTGTCATAGAAATAAATGAGGTTGTACAGAATATGTTACCACATAGTATATTTCATATGTTCGTTTTACTTTGTTATTATTTTTACAAGAATTAAACTGTTCTGCTCCAAATGCAATAAATTATTTTTTTTAATCCTCATTCAAGGAAGTATGATTCTAATAACAATAACTCTTCTTTAATTAAAAATTTAATAGGACAGTCTATTCAAAAAAAGAAAGAAATCAGAACCTTCAGTAAGATTATACCACATATCTTTCCAGCTATAAAGTAAGTTGTATATGCAACTCAAATACATTTAAAACTCACCTAACTGAGAAAGCAAGCCTACTACATTTAAGGTTAATGAAGAGCTTAGATTTGGGTCCTCAATAAGTTCTACTAAGCAATTGAGGCATTCACTTGGTAAAATATGATTTGATGCAAAACATTTTGTCAATTTCAATCCTGAGATAACCTGAAAAAAATAAGACAAGTGCTAAAAAAATACAATTAAAACTTTTAAGCTAATGGAAGATATAAATATATATAAATGACCGTAACAGGAGGTCTTACCTTTTCCTAATAAAACCAATACATATTATTTAAGTGACGGAACCTGATGTGTGAGAGAGCAATGTGTATACAGTATATATCAAACATCTTCTGTATAGTTGCTGAGAAAAATTGTATGTCTTTGAAGTCACCGTAAGTCAAGTTCAACTTGAGATGCACTTTTTGTTTGATTTGCCAATTTCTTGTAAGGTTCTTATTTTAACTTGTTGATAAAAACAATTTTTTCTTACGTAGCAACATCACTGAAGCAATGTGTGCTTTAAAACTACAATAGGAAGTTTATTGGATGCAAATCACAATATGCAAAGATAAATGAATTAATCCTTGTATCAGATTCTTTTTTGTCCTTTTAAAACAGGTAGATTTAAATGCTGCCCAATTACTGCGAGATAAGATGGGCAGTTTATACATTTAATAAATAAACAAAGAAACAAACAAGATGGTATTATCCTCATCATTATATATTTTAGGAAATTTTAAACTATCAAACAACTATAGAAGACAAAACTTGCAGAACAACTCTGTACTAAACATACCTATATTCCACTGGACTAATTTCAGTTTATTAATAAGTCAGGTTATGTATAACTGTAACCTTGTGCCTCTTCTGCACAACAGCATTAAAGTACAAATATGCAGCTTGGAAACAGGCTTAAAAATACACTCAACTCCAAAACCAATCAGACTTTAGATTCATATTTGGCATTGATAATGAAGCACTGGAAGCCTGGTATATGGGAAACATCTCCCTTGATGCTAGCTGCTGGAAGTAACATAGCTGAATCAGAAAAATGGTACCAGGACACCATTCTGTTTCTTGTTTTTCCCCTCTTTCTCACACCACTCATAGCATGAGAAGCAGAAGAGAGGGGGGAGAATTTTGTTTTCCCTTCTTACTTCTTTTGCAATGGGTAGCAAGCATAAGCAAAGGAGGGGAAGTGGGTTTTGTCACCTTGTCCGCAGAAGTACAGACCAGCTTCAGCAGGGTTATTTTTTATTAGAGGGATGGTAGTAGATAACATTCTCCCCAACCAGTCGCAGGTGCAGAATTATTTTCCAGCACTACTGTAACCAGTCAGTGGTTTCTTCTCCCCATTTGCAGTATGACTGATACTCAACAAAACATCTATCGAAAGACATGTTTAAAAACATGTGTTTTGGTATGATTTATCCCCATCCACTTTTGCTTTCAGGCAGAATAGTGAGAATTCTAAGGGAATTTTCACTCAAGGAAGGTTTACAAGGCCTGGCTAAAAATGAACAGATGGACAGTTCAGTCTTATCTTAGGTGAGGCATCAGTCCTTTTGCTTGGAATCTTTGAGAAAGAATATTAAACAAATCATAAAGAACTCCGCTGCAAGAACTAATTATTTAGTTTCAGAGATTCCATAACCATCTTCATTTTCCTGATTTAAATACAATTGTTATTAAAAAAAATTACCTTGCTTTTGTACTTACTTTTATACTGGTCACTCAAGGTGCAAAACATACCTAATATTCCTGTCTCCTATTTTCTCCGCAGTAATAATCCTGCGAGGTGGGTTGGTCTGCTACTGATCTGACTTTTGCTGCTGTAAGAGACTTGACAAAACCTACACTTGGTGTCTGTGCAGCTAGCATTCCTGCATGGAAGGTCCCATGACCTTATAGTGGAGATACAGAGGCTAAAAGAGTCAGTTCTGCTCCATTCCCCTTTAGCAGGGGGAAAAAAAACTCCTCAGCCACTGTGGAGGGAGGGAGGGGTCTTTTTCAGTGGCAGAACAATAGCCCTAGCTCCCACTTTCCCTCCATGTGTTGGCAAGAAAAGCGAGAGCAGTGGCTTTCTGGCATAGTAACCCTAACAGACCAACAGCCGCAGCGCAGGGCCAAGTCCCTAAAACGTATTTGGTGGCTTTTCTTGCCTGTACCGGTAAAGACTGACACGTGCCACTAACCAAAACAAAATAATGGCAGGGGCTGCCTACACAAAGGGTCGAGGATCAATTGAGGACGGTGTCCTACATTCATTTCTTCAACCATTACTGAAGGTTTTTGCGCTAGGAGCGATCAGGACACAACATATTAGCCCTTAACCACTTCATTTATATATGGATCTTCTGCATCTTTCAACAGTAGTTCGCAAAAACGAGGCAGTACTGGGGGAACTGTCACGGAAAAGCTTCGTTAGCGCTGTGGCAGCCGCCGCCAATTATTTGAACGCGCGTTCCTTCTTTTCCTACTTCTAGTACAAAATATCCGAAAGTCGGGGGGAGGAGAACCGGGTAGTCTACCCAGACTGTCTCTCACCTCTAAACTCCGCTGGAGCAGAGCTGCGTTGGACTGGGTGCGGGCAGCTCGGTACTGAGAAGCCGCCAAGAGCAGGGACTTCATACACGCCGAGGCGTCCATAGCCTCACCATCCGTAAAGTCGGCCAGAGACAGCGTTAGCCTTCACCTCGCATTCAAAACTTTGTATTTGGCGCCTTGGCCGCCATTTTGCTGCTGTTGCCCCAGTGAAGAAAGCCTCCGGAGCTGGGCGGAAACCTCCGCCGCTCTAGGAAACTCGCTTGCATGCTGGGAACCAGCGAGAAGAATCTTGGTTGAGCAGTTCTCTTCGTCCACGGTCGGAGCTCCGTTGCGCTCTTTGTCCCCAGCCGATGTGAGCTATGGCTAGGCGTAGTTGAGGCCACTGTGTGGGAGAGCTATTTTTACTTTCAGTCAGAGTCAGAAAAACCATTGAGGTCAGAGAGAAACAGCGATCAAAGCGTGTTCGAGGGAAGGGTTTTTGGGCAAAGATCTGCAGGGAGGGGGGTTAGGCAAATCGTTGTATAATACAAACAGGTAAGAATAGGAGGAGGGAAAATTTTTAGAAGTTTACTCTCGTTTTCAGAAGGAAAGGGCTGGCGTGCCTTTGATCTGGTTTTGTTCTGGTTTTAAGAGGTAGAGTTACCCTCGAGTGAATCTTCCTAAAGGCAGTGACCCGAGTTTTCATAGAGAATTGAATGGGGAGAGGGGAGGGATTTAGTCTGCAATTTTATTTTTATCCGGAAGTAAGTCAGCCATGCTTGTGTCTAAAAATGCTTTGACAATCCATAAAAAGGCAAGGAATCAAACATCAACCTACCAAAAGATCCATGACATAAACAGCAGAAATTCAGCATTGCTAAGCTGGGCTGGTAGCATGGTTTTGCTGATGCAATTTTCTATTACCAAAAACAGTAATTTACCGGATTAAAATGGTAATTTGTCAAGGTGAGATTTAAACTGAACAGTATAACAGAGTTGGAAGGAACCTTGTATGTCTTCTAGTTCAACCCCTTGCTCAGGCAGGAATTTCTATTATTCTGATTGGATCTTGCGTTGTTTGTACTTTCCATACAAATGATATAACTGCTGAATCCATGGAATTCAATAGTTTATTAAATGACAAGTGGGTCATTTCTTCACAGTGTTAATATATGTTATTGTTTCTGAAGGGTACAACTTAATTTAGAACAATTAAGCTCTCTAGGATCCATACCCTGGAACTATCCATCCCAAAGGTCTTCATCTTGCCAGGATTTAGAATCAGTTTACAAGTCGTCATCTACTATATTATTGCTATTGTTCATTTAAGACTAAAATGCATTCACATTTTTTTGCCCGACATGCTAGATAGAATATGACAATTTGTGTGGCAGACATGCTAGATAGAATATGACAATTTGTGTGGCAGACTAGGCAGGTACGATTATTTTGATCATTCATTTCCTTAGGACTTCTAAACTGAAAATGATCCCTTATTTTTTAGCAAAATTATGTACCAGATACGTTCAGTGCCTATGGAATCAGTGTTCCAATTGAATGAACACAGGTGATTCATCTTCAAAGAGTCACAAATCTGTTATAGCACATAACTTTCCAATTCTTTAAATGTTTCCAGACAACTTAATAAGCCAGGATATTGAGGATAGGGAAAACAACAATTATAGTACTGCATATATCTTAATCAGTATCATAAATAAGCCAACAAAGATTTGTGTATGTTTGTGCGTGCATGTCTTTGTAATGATGAAATAATACTCATAGTTTGGGAAATGGAACACACTGCCTAACAACTCTTTATCAATTGTCACATGCTGAACTAAGTTTCAGATAGCCTATTGTTTTATTGATGATATTGGAAACCACTCCAGCAGGCCTGCTGTTTTATAGGACCTCTTTTTTTTCTTCATTCTTTTCTAGTTGCTTCTCATATCTGTAGTATAAGAAAGTATTTTGGTCCTGCTTTGAGCAGTCTCTTTCAACTGGGAATTTTTGAATGCTGACATTTTTTTTTCATTTTGCTATTCAGACTGTTGTTTGCAGAGTTTGAAAGAACTAGCTATCTCCTCACTGCATCAATAGACACAACTTTTTGTTCTAGCAAAATATGACAGGTTGGATCTGTCAAGTGGTTGTAATTTTTTTAACCTCTCAGACTTCAACTCCACGTCTGCCTTTTTAATTTTTTTCTCTAGATGAAAGGGAAATATTAGAAATCCAGGATAACAGGATTATTTAGACAAATTTGTAAGGGGCTTGCTATTTTTAACCACTTTATATTCTTTCTTCCCATTTGTGGCTATGAATGAAAACTACAGAGGTCACTTTTTCATATGTGTTCTTTCTCATCTAAGAGAGTTAGTAACTCCTGGACTAGTCGATTATATTTGATGAGTTAATTGAAATCCACCTCATAATTTAATTAAATAAGTGGTAAATTGAAGACGATATCTGCTCTGGACAGTTCTAGATGTGTGACATACTGATGGTTACAAAATATATATTTGTTATTTTAAAAAAATCTTAGGTTTACTTGCTGACATAGTAACTATTTGACAACATCTGTGTATATTATATGCATTAGGACTATTTTCTTCATATATTAATGATTTTTTTTCTAGAATAAAGAGACAAATGTACTCAAAATATGTTGCTGTTGTTATTTCCTGTGACACAGATTTATGAAAACCTTATATACTGGCGGATATAATCAACCAATCTGAAAGTGTTAAATCCTGTGTAATGGAAATGATAATTATTTTCCACAGGCGTCTGTCTTTTTAGATACATAACACATACATTGAAAAACAATCAAAAATTTACACAGCTAAATGTTATCACGACAAACTGTTAGCTATTTGAAATGGAAATGACATAAAAATAGCATAGTATGTTCTAGAGTGCATATTAGGTGAAGGAGAGTAAGAGGCTTAGGGATCAAGTCTCATGAGAAAAGATTCAAACAAGATAAACATATTTATTCCACACAAGAAAACAATTAAGGTAGTATATTATGAGATATGCTAAAATACATGTATTTTGTTTTATATTGCTCCAGAGTTTTGAAGCAATAGATTGTACTTCAAATAAAAATAATATGAAATTAATAGTAGGAAGAACTTCTTGATAGTATAAACTGATAAGAGAGTTTTTAAAGCCAAAGTAGTATGATTACTTGTTTAACATAATACAGCACTGGATATTCTGGAATTGGACTCAGTGACTTTTGAAGTCCTTTCCAACTTCTTGATCCTTGAAATGGTTTCACCCCCAATCCCCATAACTGTAAAATGATTAGCATTTCTTTATGAAAGATTTTGGAAACTGACATTCTCGTTGATTTTCTGTCATTAGTGTTAATGTTCATGAACATACAGTACTATTTCATTTCTCTAAAGAAAAATTGTTGCACAAACAAACATGTTATCTGGAAAAATACTTCATTTATTTTTTATAGAGATGTATTCTTCACAGTTCATCAAGCCATTTCAACATTATAGTACATTAAATTATGGTTAAAATGAATTGAAAAAAACACTTGAGTACATTATAATTGTAAAAGCCATTAGCAGAAAAAAGAAGATGGTAACTAAAAAAGCCTGGCACTGAAGTTATATAAAAAAAGGAAACATCTATAAGGCTCAGTTAGAGACCATTATACTTCTATTTCAAAAATGTAATGTAAGGATGCACTTAGTGATTTGGATAACCTTTTTTAAAGTTACAATTGTATCAAGTTTAACAATGTAATTTAAGTTAAAAGAATGTATACAATTTTGACAATTTCTGTCTCTTTTTTGCATTCTAGTATATTTTTTAATATTAATATCTTGCCAATGTTTTTACTAAAGAAACGGGGAAATGACCAAATTCTATACTGGCTTTACTTTTAACAAGAAAATGAATTGGTGGAATTAATCAAACATTTTTATGATGTTTTTCTCTTTTAAACTGTAACCCATTTAAAGTTCTAGATATTATGCATTATATTTTTCACATATAAACCAAAAAGAAAACATTTTATAAGAGTTCCCTAAATTCATCTGCATGCTACCTGCAACTCTTGATTAAAATGTAAAATTCTGTTGTAAAAACACCATCAGGAAAAAACTATGTGTACTTGTATCTGTTCTTCTATAGTGACCAACACACTTCACTCAAATAAAATTATACAATTCAGACAATTGTTGGCTTCTTGGTGTCCTCTGAACTTTCTTTTCTTCCTGCAGACATTTCATTTGCAGGCTAGGTGACATTGCATGGAGGAACAGAGTGTGCAGGTTTCTGTTATGCAGAAATATATATGCAGAAACAGAAAATCAAAGAAGACTAGAGACTCAACAATTCAACCTTGAAGTACACAGTCTTCTTTAAAGATACAATTTTAGTAAATATAAAGTCTTCTGAGAGGGCAAAAGCTATTAAGGTGACTGATCTTCCAAACTTTGCCCCTTGCATGGACGTGATGTAGCATGATGATAAGTTAAGCATGTGGCTTACTTATTAAATAATAATTGGTGATTACTCTGAATGCTTATGCTATTTGTTAACCAAATCTGTTACATTAAAGTCTATACTCCATGAGATTTAAATATATTTTTGTGTTTTTAAGTGTCACTTATAGCAATGATATTGAATAATACAAACAATTTAGTATTTTGTAAACATCAGAGACCCTTGCACTTATGACTCAAATATAGCAAGTTAAATAGTGCTAATAAAGGAAAGCTGTTAAAATGAAAATATAATGAGATACTGCATTATGGAAAAAGCTATCACATTTTTGTGGTATAAGCTTTTCAGATGTTCACTTCATCAGGGGCATAAAGTGAACATTTGCAGAGCCATATATGTACCCAGTACATGAAAAGAAGATAATACAAGTATGTATGCATTTTATAAAATGTGCCTTTTACAGAGGCAAGCAAGTAAAAATTGGCATTAAATTTGTCACATCCAAAGTACAAATGAACACAGAATCCAATGAAGTGAATAGAAGAGTTTGTATGGGTATGATCCATAGAATGCCCTCACTGGAATGGAGTGAACAGATTAATCAGGCAAGACGTTAATGTAATCTTCAGCATCATCTGGAGAGAGAATAAGAAAAAAGTTATCATTACATTTCTCTAAATTTCAGTGCAAAAAGCATTAGTATCATTCACATTCACAACATGGTGCTTAAATAATCACTGTTGATTTAAACACAGTAGAAAGAGATAATTTACTGCATAAGACTCAATAGAATGAGGATTCTCTCTTGACTACCTTGCATTATACAATCCCAGGGGGCAGAAACTTGAATGCAGAACAGAAATCTGTAGCAAAGAAGTAAGATGATTTCTTTTTCACCTCAGACACCTTCCTACTTTTACTCCTTTAAATTCTGGTTGAATTATTATGTTTTCAATGTTATATGTAGCTAAAGTCTAAATCTTAGTGGCTTCTATCTCTCTATGGCATGTTTTATCACCCTTTCACAGCAAATAACTTTTATTACAATGTCTCCAACACTTTCCCTTCACTTTTTCCCAGTCCTATAGAGATGTGTATAGCTATTTCATTTTGTAGAATTGTGTCTCCTCCATTTGTAGTGCCTCGATATAGGAAAGCAACACTGCCAATCAAAAGTGTCAGAGGGTCAGTTCGCTTTGGCAGGAATTACTCTTCTTCACTCAGCAATACAACGTAGTATCACTCCAATGTGACATTTAGAAGTAAAGTGCCTTTTCACACTCTGGAGGGGCATTGAAGTATTATTAAAGCTGTTTTTTTAAAAAATAATTTGCATACACCTACTATCCATATTGTACTTTGCTTCTCTTTTTTATTTTGAAACTGACATAAAGGGAGCTTTTTTTTCACTGTAAGGATGAATGAGATTATTTATAACAATGTGAATTTAAATTTAATCTGTTTAGGTACTGCCTGACTCCAGAATTTCTCTGATGGCTTATAATATGGCAATGCATAAAATGCAAATACAACTCAAAAAGACAAAACCACCAATGACAAAAATAGGATAAGTATAATTTAAATAAAAAGTTGGTTCATTTAGATTTTTAAAATATGTATCAACAAACTTTAATCACCTTAGTCCAAGGCCTGGGAGTTGTTGTGTTTTAGACTATCTAGAACACTAACAGGATGGGAACCATCCAGATTTCAGGGGGATCATTGTTCCAGGGGCAGACAATACAACAGACAAGGCCATGCATATCAGTTTATAACACTGTATTATAAAGTATTCTGCTAACTGCCTTTAGTTGTTTGTGGCTAACAGTTCCATTTTTGACATAAATAATTTTTAAAGGATTTCTTTCACACGTTCAGTGCCTTTAAAAATATAGAATAGACTTCTGTTAGACTGCTACATTATTTAGCCCAATATTGTTCTCTTCCTGATGTATGTTATAACATTTCAGTCTGCCAGCAGTTCGATCCTGACCAACTGAAGGTTGACTCAGTGTTTAATCCTTCCGAGATTGGTAAAATGAGGACCCAGATTGTTGGGGGCAATATGCTGGCTCTGTAAATTGTTGAAAGAGGGCTGTAAAGCACTATGAAGTGGTATATAAGAGCTATTGCTAGCTACTATGCTTTTATGCAGGTGGACCCTGACTTACAATCACAGCTAAGACCAGATTTTCCATTGGTTAAGTGAGCACATGCTTGATTTTTATGATAATTTTGTCATGATTATTAAGTGAAATCACTGCAGTCATTATGTGAATCATGGTTGATAAGCAAATCTGGCTTCACCTATTGACTCAGCTTGTTGGCTGGAAAGGTTACAAAGAGCTATTTATTTATTTATTTATTTGCCCCCTTCTCGTTTTGAAACAGTCACATGACCTGGGCTAAGGAAAGTGTCATAAATAATGCCAGTTGCCAAGTGCCCCAATTTTGATCATGTGACTAGAGCAGGATTTTTCAACTGGTGGTATGTGTACCACCTATGGTACTTTGCCACGTGGCAGGTGTTACACGACTGCTAGCCAAGTGTAGTAGGGGAGGGGAATGAGCCTAAGTGAGCCAAGTCTGAGGGAGACGCAGCTGCTTGACTGTCTGGGCTTGGCAGAAGCCCCAGGAGCTGGCAGGGCTCCAGCTGATTGGCTCCAGCTGATTGACGCTTGCAGTTCAGCTGGAGCTGGAGGTGAACTGAAGAAAAAGGGGGAGGGAAAGAGAGGAGAGGCTATAAAAGAACGTGGTTTGGCTGGGGGAAGGGGGAAAAAGACAACAGGAAAGGTTTAATCCCTTTAAACAAATGTAATTAGTTTTACCCCCTTTAATTGAGTCTGTCAATGGCTTTTAGAAAGTTTTCTTTGAAGGTAAACAGGCTTAATTTAAAGCTAAAGCTTTTCGCAATTGCCGGAGCCTTTCAGTCCAGGATTGCAACATTGTGACACGTGACACGCCTCAAGCAGCTTAAAGAAAAAAAATGGAGTTTGTGTTTATTTTCTTGCTTTACACTTGAATCCTGTGTCTTTAAGGGTACAGAGAAGGGATGGGAGAAGAGCTCAGAAAGGAAAGAGGAAGAAGGGCCAACCAGCTAGCTCAGGAGTCTACAAATTTAGCAATTTTAAGACCTGTGGACTTCAACTCCCAGAATTCCTCAATCAGCCATGAAGGCTGAGGAATTCTGGGAGTTGAAGTTCACAAGTCTTAAAAATGCCAAGTTTGAAGACCCGTGAACTAGCTTGTAGTGGTGCATAATAAACATGGATAAATTCATCATACATTTGTCAATGCAAAGGGAAAGTGATTCAGCAAAGGAAAAGCCACTGAAGAAATTAAAACTGGTACTTTTTTCTTTTTTTCTACAGTTTTTAATATTTTATTAGATTATAGAATAAAATACAAAAGCAAATAGTAGGACACAGTGGGGAGGAAAAAGGGGGAAAAGTGAGGGGGAGAAGGGAAAAAGAACATACTTCCTCTGCTGCAGTAGAAGGAAGCATTAACACTGAACCTCAACTTTTTACTTCTCCATAATATTATAAACTAGCCATTTCTATAACAACAAATGAATCTAATCAGTAAAACCCAAAATCCCCCCCCTTTTTAGTCATCAAATTTTTGACACCTTGCTAAGCACTGGTAGTAATCAAATATTGTCATGTCCTAAAAGTGGTACAATCTGTGAAAAGGTTGAAAAGCCCTAGATTAGAGGGTACTGCAGCAGTCATAAGTCACTTTTTTCAATGCCATTGTAACTTGATGCTTGCTAAACAAATGATTTTAAGTCAAAGACCACCCGAACCTTTTCTTTAGGGTTTGACCTTGAT